TCACTAAGCCCTCTCTCAGTCCAGTGATATGCACTGGAGTCTTGCCTATCTATGGGATTCCCTCTCCTCATTGACTGAGACAGCAGTGGGAGCCATTGGCTCCTGTTGATGTCAATCACAGCCAGTGAGCCAATGAGAAGAGGGAGAGGTGGGGCCGTGCCATGCCCCGTGTGTGAATGGACATAGAGAGCAGCTCCGGTGGAGTGCGCATGCTCAGTGCCTCGTAGCAAGCTGCTTGCTGTAGGGGCACTCAGCAGGAGGGAGGGGCCAGGAGCGCTGGAGTGGGACCCAAGAAGAATAGTATCTGGGTTGCTCTGTGCAAAACCACTGCACACAGCAGGTAAGTATAGACATTTTTGTTTTTTTTTCATTTAAAGCTTTAGAATCACTTTAAGTTATAACAAAAAGTCAAAAAAAAAACATATTTCTATATTTACATGAAGGTCAGGTTACTATAACCCAGCTCAGAATTCCCACATACATCAGAGTCTGCAGGGTTCTCCATTATAGTGCAAGTGGAACTCTGATGTAAAGGGCAACTCTGATGCAAAGGAGAACACTGTGGATCATGATGTAAGGGGGAATGCTGCAGACTTTAGTGTAAAAAGAAACTCTGATATAAGGTGGTCTTTGGTCACCAGAGCCCCCCCTTACATTAGAGTCCACAGCGTTCCTGTTTGCAGAGCTCCCACTTACATCAGGGTCTGCAGCATTGCCCTTTACATCAGGGTCTGCATAATTCCCTTTTGCACTGTAAAGGGAATCCTGAAGACTCTGATGTAAATGAGAACTCTGAGGGCACTGAGTTAGGGACAACACTTGGAACTCTAATGTGGGGGGGGGGGGACTCTGGTAGCCACAGACCACATTCTGCAGAGTGAATACACTAAAGTAAGGGGGTTACTGAAATAAGGGAGGAATCTTTATGTCAGTGCCACTGCGATGCAACGCAGTGCCCCAACCCCTGCCCTTCTCACCAACTCGTGACAAAAGAGCAGCCAATCTCACACTGCGCTGTCATTTGCATAACAATGCCATTCTCAGGTGCACCCTGCACAAAGATTTTCCAGCTTGCGGGACCACAATCTATTTGCCAGCAGCCTGAAAGCGATTGTCACTGGGTTAGGTTAATTATACGATTAACCCTTCACACTGCCACCACCGCCTTTTTACAGAGAAGGGGGAAACTCAAAAATCCTAGCAATAACACTATGATTTTAGCATAAGCATCTGCAACACACACTGTCACCACAGACAGGTATATTCAGAGGATTATTACAGACAGTAGCACTGTTCAAGAGACATGGATTCTTTAGTTTGCATTAAAAGCTTTAGAGACAGTTTCAGCACTTTTCAAAATAGGGTTTATTAATGAAAAGGTCAAAATGGTGCAATTAAAATGTTTCCAAAAAAAGATGTTACACAGACATAAAGAGAACAGTAAAGCAACAGAGACATAAAAGAAAGGAGTTAAGAAGGCAGGTAACTTGCAAAGTCCTGGTTTAGCAGAGTCCAATTGTCCGAGCAAAATTGTTGCCTTGGCTCTCAAGTCCGTTAAGATATTTCTTGATTGATGTTAAACGAGAGCTCTTCTTCCCAAAGCCTGTCAGTCCTTTTCTATGATATCAGAGGGGTGTCGCCTGAGAACAACTGACCAATCATCCGGTTTAGGGGATGGATGCTAGGAGGTCACCAAATTTATGATCAAGTCCCAACTACAGTGTCATACTAATAGTAATAACTTCCAGTATGTGCAAGTGGTATTCTAGCAACTGGCAGATTAATATTCAGAATTATATTTGGAACCCAGGGATACCAAACACAGTGTACCTTTGTCACCCAGGAGGGAAGAGACTGTTTGCTCCCCTTTCCTATGTGCCAACATAGTCATGTAGGACCTTGATTTGTTCAGTAGGATATTCCCTATTCAAATATATACCTAATATTAATGTGCCCTGTTCCTGTTGAATTCTCTGAATTGTATGTGGAATTGTTACATGTGGAATAGATATTTTATGGCACGCTCTGCATTTCTAGAGCTCTAACAGATCATGTGTGATGGCTGACTGAGTGATTGTTTTTATGATAGGACAGAAGAAAGTGTCTTTGCAAAACAGACATCCTGTCAAGACTAATTAGCGGTTTACAACTCTGGAGCTAGGCTCTATTTGTGTTTTATTTAAGATAAGAGTCTCTTTTGACGTTCGTTACAACTTACAGCCACAAATTCCATTTTCAAGAGGAGGGAGGAGAGAAGAAAGATGGTTGTTCATGAAAAACAAAATGGCTGAGACCATACCAAGATGGCTGTCACATACAGCTTTCATGTCTCTATTGCGCATAATCGTTACACCCAACCTTACCTTGCTGTATTCACTCCCCCTTACACTTGTGGCACTGTCACTGACCTCCCCTCAGGTGCACCATGTAGGGCTCAGTCAGACAGTTCTCTCTGGCCCCAGCTTGGTGGCTCTGGTATCGTCCAATATTCTCCACTCCACACACCTCTGACTTCTCCCGTGACCCCTGTCCCTGCGGTGCATATGCTGTTGACTCCTCTCCAGGCTTCTCCTCAGAGACTGCAAACATAATACAAGAAATGGTCAGAGACTGCAGACATGATACAAGAGATGGTCAGGGACTACGTGCATACTACAAGAGATGGTCAGAGACTGTAGGTGTATGACAGGAGATAGTCAGAGACTGCTGACATACTACAGGCGATGGTCAGAGATTGCATACATAGTACAGGAGATGGTCAGAGACTGCAACCATATTATAGGAGATGGTCAAATACTGCAGACATGCTACAGTAATAGGAGATGGTCAGAGGCTGCCAGGAGGGATCCTATATGGCATCCACAGCAGCAGAGTGTAGCAGTAGCTGCTGGGCAGAGGGAGAGTGGGGGCCAGCAAAATTCTACTTGATGGTACTAGGAGGTTTGGGCTTAGTAAAGGAAGGTCTTTTATGGGACAATGGACTCACCCTGTCTTGTCTTCTTGTGTGCACATAAAGCCGCTGCTCAGACACTATCTTTAGTGCCTCCAGTCCTGAGGATCCTTTAGAGGACCGATCTCCCAGTGGTTTGGGTGCAGTGTGCCCAACTTTCACCATGATGGCAGGTAAGCAGGGATGGCCTCAGGATTCTGTGGGAGGTAGCTTTGAGCCAATTGGGTATGCTGTGTTGGCAGGATCAGGTAAGGACTGACAAGGCAGCTCTGGCACTTCACTAATCTCATCCCCGCTTCCAGACACATCCTCCCTGTCAGGGCTCCCAGGTATGACCAGAGGTGTGTGACTGATGCAGGGAAACGCAGACTTCAGATATGTGATAAACAATATAATTTAATAACACTAACAATACAAACATAAACGCAGTGCAATACTAAACATAATACAGTGCAAACAAACCAAACCACCCACAGATAACAGTACATACAAGCAAGCGTCGTCAGGCAGGCCGGGGTCAATATCAATTGGGCAGGTAGGTACAGGGGGAGCAAGCAGAGAATGGTCGGGGTCACAGGCCAGGTTCAGCAGTAGCAAGCAGCGTAGTACAGAGGGTCAGGCAGAGGGATGGTCAGGGTCACAAGCCAGAGATCAAAACAGGTAACAAGCAGCGTAGTACAGAGGGTCAGGCAGAGGGACAGAAACAGGATGCAGGACAGATACAGGGCCCAGGACAAACACAACACCAAGGCAGAGTCTGTGGGTCTGGCCATCCCTTAAATACCCCAGCATCATCAGTTCCAGGTGTTAGCTGGCTGAAAGGTTGAGTCTCTGATTGCTGGGAGCACCCGCTGGCCAGCCCTGGTACTGCAGATCAAAAGGCAGGTGAGTCCCACCATTGCTGGCCAGTCCATTCCTAACAGTACCCCCCCCCAAGGAGCGGCCTCAGGACGCTCCAAACAGTCCTAGCTGGGCAAAATGTTCCACCGCCCGGGTCTGGTAACTGGCGGGGATAACAAAGACTGGCACACCGGGCTGGACTCCGGGCAGAGGCACACCGGGCTGGACTCCGGGCAGAGGCACACCGGGCTGGACTCCGGGCAGAGGCACACCGGGCTGGACTCCGGGCAGAGGCACACGGGGCTGGACTCCGGGCAGAGGCACACTGGGCTGGACTCCGGGCAGAGGCACACCGGGCAGAGGCACACCGGGCAGAGGCACATCGGGCAGGACTCCGGGCAGAGGCACATCGGGCAGGACACCGGGCAGAGGCACATCGGGCAGGACACCGGGCAGAGGCACATCGGGCAGGACTCCGGGCAGAGGCACATCGGGCAGGACTCCGGGCAGAGGCACATCGGGCAGAGGCACATCAGGCAGAGGCACATCGGGCAGGACTCCGGGCAGAGGCACATCGGGCAGAGGCACATCGGGCAGGACTCCGGGCAGAGGCACATCGGATTACCAGGCGAAGCAGCAGGCACCCGGGCCACCAGGCGGAGCAGCAGGCACCGGGCCCCCGGGCGGAGCAGCAGGCACCGGGCCCCCGGGCGGAGCAGCAGGCACCGGGCCCCCGGGCGGAGCAGCAGGCACCGGGCCCCCAGGCGGGGCGACATGCATCGGGCCCCCGGGCGGGGCGACATGCACCGGGCCCCCGGGCGGAGCGGCGGGCGCCGGGCCCCCGGGCGGGGCGGCGGGCGCCGGGCCCCCGGGCGGGGCGGCGGGCGCCGGGCCCCCAGGAGGGGGGACGGGCATCGTGCCCCCAGGCGGGGGCGACAGGCATCGTGCCCCCAGGCGGGGCGACAGGCATCGTGCCCCCAGGCGGGGCGACAGGCATCGTGCCCCCAGGCGGGGCGACAGGCATCGTGCCCCCAGGCGGAGCGGCGGGCGCCGGACCCCCAGGCGGAGCGACAGGTCTCGGGCCCTCAGGCGGAGCGGCGGGCGCCGGACCCCCAGGAGGAGCGACAGGTCTCGGGCCCTCAAGCGCAGCGGCGGGCGCCGGACCCCCAGGCGGAACGACAGGTCTCAGGCCCCCAGGCGGGGGCGGCGGGGCGGCGGGCACCGAGTCACCAGGCACAACCGTGGGCTCCGAGTCAACTGGGATGACCGCTGGCACTGGGTCAGACATTGGATCGTCTGGCTGGACAGCGGGCATCGGGTCACCAGGCATCAGGTCATTTGGCTCGACAGCGGGCACCGCGTCATCTGGCAAGGCAGTGGGCTCCGAGTCAACTGGTATGACCGCGGGCACTGGGTCAGACATTGGATCGTCTGGCTGGATAGCGGGCACTGGGTCACCAGGCATCAGGTCATTTGGCTCGACAGCGGGCACCGCGTCATCTGGCAAGGCAGTGGGCTCCGAGTCAACAGGCACGACAGTGAGCACCGGGTCATCAGGTACCGGATTGTCTGGCTCGACAGCGGGCATCGGGTCACCAGGTATGACAGCGGGCACTGGGTCACCAGGCATCAGGTCATTTGGCTCGACAGCGGGCACCGGATCAGGTACCGGATCATCTGGATCAACAGCGGGCATCGAGTCAACTGGCCTAATAGGATCGTCAGGCTGGATCAGTTCATCATGCTGGGTAGAGGCATCAGGCTGAATGCCGGCGTCCGGCTGAGTAGAGGCTTCAGGCCGAGTAGAGGCTTCAGGCCGAGTAGAGGCTTCAGGCCGAGTAGAGGCATCAGCCGAGTAGAGGCATCAGGCCGAGTAGAGGCTTCAGGCCGAGTAGAGGCTTCAGGCCGAGTAGAGGCATCAGGCCGAGTAGAGGCTTCAGGCCGAGTAGAGGCTTCAGCCGAGTAGAGGCATCAGCCGAGTAGAGGCTTCAGGCCGAGTAGAGGCTTCAGGCCGAGTAGAGGCATCAGGCCGAGGAGAGGCATCAGGCTGCATACAGGCATCAGGCTGCATACAGGCATTAGGCTGAAGAGAGGCATCAGGCTGCGTACCGGCATCAGGCTGAGTAGAGGCATCAGGCTGAGTAGAGGCATCAGGCTGAGTAGAGGCATCAGCTGAGTAGAGGCATCAGGCTGAGTAGAGGCATCAGGCTGAGTAGAGGCTTCAGGCTGAGTAGAGGCTTCAGGCTGAGTAGAGGCATCAGGCTGAGTAGAGGCTTCAGGCTGAGTAGAGGCATCAGGCTGAGTAGAGGCTTCAGGCTGAGTAGAGGCATCAGGCTGAGTAAGGGTGGGAGGCTTCAGGCTGAGTAGAGGCTTCAGGCTGAGTAGAGGCTTCAGGCTGAACCACGGAAGGCAGGATAGGTGCAGCGTGTGGGAACAGGGTACTGACATGCGGTAGATAGCAGGGCAGGAGGAGCTGTTGGAATGCAGGAATAGAGCTTTGAGGAAATAGATTAGAAGCAGGACTGGGTCTTTGTAAGCTGACTGAGGCTTGGGTGCAACGAATCTGTCCATGTCTGCAGTATGGGTTGAACAAAGCTGAGCTTACACAAAGCCTGTCTGGTCAATGACTGCACTGCGTTTATACAATCTCTTAGTGTCTGTGGTGAACATGTGGAATAACGCTCCAGAAAGTAACCCACATCATCCTCTAATAACCACACCAGGGACTCTACCTGGTCTGCACTAAATGGTGGCAAAAATTCATCCCTGCATTCGGGGGAACCAGATGAAACCAACTCAGCACAAACCTCAATCAAAGGCTGCATCTCAGAGAACTCTGTGCCCTGATCTACTAGAACATGAGCGAGCCGTATACATTCTAGCAATTCATCCCGGGTATACTCCTTCAGAGTTTGATAAGCATACTCCCTGTCATCAAACACTAGCAGATATAAATATTCAACCTCATCAAGATCCATCCTTCCCATCAACAAGCCAAGATGGCTTCCCTGTGCAGCCACTTCTGGTCAGGATTGGCCTTGGTGTAATGTCAGGGCTCCCAGGTATGACCAGAGGTGTGTGACTGATGCAGGGAAACGCAGACTTCAGATATGTGATAAACAATATAATTTAATAACACTAACAATACAAACATAAACGCAGTGCAATACTAAACATAATACAGTGCAAACAAACCAAACCAAACCACCCACAGATAACAGTACATACAAGCAAGCGTCGTCAGGCAGGCCGGGTCAATATCAATTGGGCAGGTAGGTACAGGGGAGCAAGCAGAGAATGGTCGGGGTCACAGGCCAGGTTCAGCAGGTAGCAAGCAGCGTAGTACAGAGGGTCAGGCAGAGGGGATGGTCAGGGTCACAAGCCAGAGATCAAAACAGGTAACAAGCAGCGTAGTACAGAGGGTCAGGCAGAGGGACAGAAACAGGATGCAGGGGACAGATACAGGGCCCAGGACAAACACAACACCAAGGCAGAGTCTGTGGGTCTGGCCATCCCTTAAATACCCCAGCATCATCAGTTCCAGGGTGTTAGCTGGCTGAAAGGTTGAGTCTCTGGTTGCTGGGGAGCACCCGCTGGCCAGCCCTGGTACTGCAGATCAAAAGGCAGGTGAGTCCCACCATTGCTGGCCAGTCCATTCCTAACACTCCCTCAGTCAATTGTAAAAGGCACTGAAATCACTGTGCATGCATTCCAGGCCCAACCCTCCACCTCCCTTCACATTCGAGGCTCTGAGTCCCTTCCAAGTGTTGCTGCTGCCCATTAGGCTTTGGAACTGCAAATGCGCAGTCCCAAATCCATCCCCAGCCATATTTTTAAGTAAAAAATATTGTTTTTTAATTCAAAATTTTTGGTCTTGTTTCATTTATACAATAAAAAATGAAAAACCCAGTGGTGGTTAAGTACCAACTAAAGAAAGCTCTAATTGTGCTAAAAAAAATTATATAAATTTCATTTGGGTACAGTATTGCATGACCATGCAATTGTCAGTTAAAGTAACACAGTGCTGAATAGCAAAAAAATGGCCTGGTCAGGAAGGGGGTAAAACCTTCCAGAAGGCAAGTGGTCAAAGGGATGAAGTTTTGCCTTTGCTTTCGCCTATACATTGGCTTTCATGTATGGTCTGCCACCTGATTTTACATTGGAATAAACCTGTATGTGGACTATAAACTCTTGGTTTAGTGCTTCAGTCTCAGATCTACCTATTTAGGTTACAAACTAAATGACTGTGAGAATCTTTTGGCATGTAGAAGCCTCCAACCTGGCGTATAGATATCCTACTACTGTATATTTAACACCAATATGATATTTGCACTGTTCCAGTGCTGTCTATTACTCCTGAAAAATAGACTTTAGAGAGACATTGATGATTTAGTTTTGAAGTTTCTTATACTTGCTTCACTATGTGGTACTTGGCAATGATGTATAAGAATGACAGTTCCAGAGTATGCACCTTTAATAAAAAGGCAACTGTGGCAGCTTCCATATTTCTATCCTGAGAAGTTCCCTTTATGTAATTTATGTACTCTTTTGATATGCTGTTGTAGTGGGTGCTATCCATTTGCATCTGCCCCACTCTTTCTCTTTCCCCCCCTCGCTTGGTGCAGATGCAGAGAGGACCATGGAGATTTCAGGGGAGAACATTGTGGGAGCAGCTGCTGGCTTCCTCCCCTCCTCCTCATGCTGTGCAGGGAATAGAGCAGCACTTGCAAGGATCACTGCCCACTCTGTCCCCTTCCCATTGTCTGCAAGGGAAACCAATCATCAGAGGCAGAGGGGAACATCATGGGACATGTAGGCCCAATGAGTGGCAGCCCTATTAGTTCCCCTGGGAGAAAAACTACAAGCTCAGCGCAGGAGGGATAGAAAGCCAAGTGACCTGAAAGAAAGGCTCTTGGGGAAGTGCTGCAGGGGACAGAGGGAGAGAGGAGAGTGCGTAGGGATGCCATATAGAGAAACCACCCTGCCCAGCATCACCAACCAGAGAGGGACTGAGCCATTGCTGGGGTACAGACGTTCTGCAGTATGGACTGAAGTTGCCTAGGACAACCCAGAGTGAACGAACATCCAGCCAGAGGGATTGCTGCTGCTGTGTCACTAGGTCTCATGAGAGGGCCTTGCGCTCATTGCTTGCTGCCACTTCTGTAGACTGAGCCATTAGGAACTTCCTAGCCTAACCTGCTATCCTATAGTCCTGATAGTGCTTGCAGGCCCTGTTCACGGCTGAAACACAAGCCAACGAGCTCCAACAACTAGCCTGTGAATATCTTATACTAAAGACTTCGCTCTAACTCTAACTGCCCCAAGGCCTAGCCTGTTAGTTATTTAAAGTGGTACCCTACCATCTCCTATTCCTTTGAGTGCACTCAAAACTACTAGGGAACTGCTATCCCTTTAGACACATTTAGAGTCCAGTTGTGTTGCTTATTACTGACTTACGTATTGATTCTTGCTATTGATATATATATATATATATTGACGCTGCTGTCATTTATGCAAATTATGATTAATAGACTAAGAGTGTTTATCACCAAACAGGTGTGGGTTTATTTATTGCCAATGTCTTATAGCCAGGCAAAAGGTACCATACACTTGTGTTGCTACTTGTGAGTCGAGGCACAGAACAGGGAACCCAAAATTACCAAGCAATTCCTTCAGGGGTGGCACTACACTGTAAAGAAGGAAGACAGCAAACGTAGGATGGGTCTTTTTATATTAAAGCATAAAGTCATTTTTATTGGAATGGTGGTATCAAGTTTTGTCACACCTATAAAATTAACCGTACTGGTTGTCCTGCTCTGATACCTGTCACAGCTGTTGTATCCTGTAGTCTGGGAGGCAAAGTAGTTATTAGGGTGCTCTACTAACAAATTTAGGCTACCAAGAGTATATTATTACAGGAAAAGGAACTGTAACTAACTTGTACAGATTATAGAAAATATTATACATGTATCAATAGTAAACAATGACATCTGCAAGTCAGAGGACCGACCATTACACATCCCCCTTATAGAAAGGATTATTTAAAATATAAAAACAATAAAAAGAATTTTATCACAAAATAGTTATATGTATTTTAATGACATCACATAATGCTTGCCCCATACAGGAGGCCCTCTGAGTTCTTTGAATATCTTTAGGTTTTTCAGAATGCTGAGAAGATTTCCTATATTAAACTAAACTTCTGAAAAGTTTCTATTCTGTCTAAGGCACCTTCAAGATGATTGGCAATACATATGCATCCATCAGAAAATTCATAGGTGCAAAGTCCTTGTTGACTCATTAACCACTTCAAGTTCGGACACTTTTACCCCCTTCTTGTCCAGGCCAATTTTCAGCTTTCAACGCTATCACACTTTGAATGACAATTGGGCTGTCATGCACTGTACACATGTGATTTTTTAGCATTTTTTTTTGAGACAGATAAAGCTTTATTTTGGTGGTATTTATTCACCACTGGGATTTTTATTTCTGTTGCTATATAAATGAAAAAGTCCAAAAATTTTGAAAAAAAAAAATGTTTTTCGTATAAAAGTTTGCAAATAAATAATATTTTATCATAAATCTTGGCCAAAATGTGTTCAGTTATCTTTTCAGAAAAAAAAAAAACCCAAATTACTTTAGAACCAAAAATTATAATTTTTAAACATTTTTCTTTACATTTTTATTTTATTTTTTTATGTTATTATTTATGTTTTTTCTTTTTACATACTGTCACCCTAACAGTACAGTGTCACCATAGTGATACTGTACTACTTGTGGGGGGTGATGAAGATTTTTTTTTTTTTTTCTTACACTGATTGCTTTTACACCCATAAAGGCTGTGAAAAGCAATCATTTCTCCTTCTCTCTGGCTGCATTCTTGCAGTCATTGAGAAATACTGTGTGAGTTGTGATTGGTCACAGCTTGTCACATGGTACAAGGCTGTTGTGAATAGCCTTGTACCATGTGACCTCTGTGACACGTAGTAAGCAATGAAATCAGAAGTGACATCTTGCTTCCTACTCTGCATGTGATCACTGATTGGCCAAACAGTGATCACTTGATCGGGACCTCGCACAGAGGTCCCGTACGACGATCGGTGTTCCACTGTTCCCAGGGAGTGCGCACAGTCCAAAATGGCGGGCGCTGTTTATGAACAGCAACCCGCCCCTAGACTGCCACCGTTGGGCCGTTTATATACAGCGGCCGGACAGCAAGTGGTTAAAGTTTTGTCACTCTAAGTGGATTAAAAAAGTTGGATTGTCCCTGTTTCGATAAGGCAGGTTTCTTAAAGTGGAATTCTAGATGTACATCTAGATACTGTGAGTTTCATATTGTAAGTTTAGATTGATATTATTTTTGTAGTTTTTTTATATAAATTGTATAGTATATTTATATAGTTCGTTGTTAACAGTCAGCAGTGAAACTTAAATAATTTAATGGGACATTAATAGTACATTTTATTTATACATTGTTGTAATACTGACTTCAGAGACTGGATTTGTAGTAATAGTACTTTTGGTTATA